CCAGCTTTGTGCCCGTGATGCTGCTGGCGTGCTCGTTGAAGAGAGCGCAGAGTCATTATGAGGCAAGCATGCTGCATAACAAACTGATGAAACCTGCTCTTATTGCATCAGCGTTTTCTGTTTTGACCCCAGTGAAACAAACTGGGCATCGTGTCTGCAGACAGGCGGTCATTAAAAATCATCAACTATGACCCTGATGAAGGCCACAAGCCAAAATGTGGTCTTCCTAAAATTCTGCATAATTCTCAGATGGTGGCAATACTCAGGTCTGCAGTTATTTTTTCACTTTCTGTGATATTGTCATTTCCTAAAGAAAACCAATAAAGATGCTGGAGAGAAGATGTGCATTACTATTTTAGTGCTCGGCGGATTTAAACAACACATCTATAACTGTTTCCTCTACAAATGGTGAAAGAGAAACAACTTGAAAAGTGCTTGGAAGTCGTGCTGAGGACTTGGTCTGAGAATAGAGTCCATATGTGAGTGGCCTGAGGGTTGAGGGTTACTCAGACCATGACTCAGATTGGTGGGCAGGCAGGGGTGTGGTTAACGGTCCGAATGACCCGGGGAAAGAAGCTGTTAGTGAGTCTGGAGGTGTGGGACCTGACTGACCCGAGACGCTACCAGTGGGCAGTGAGTCAAACGGGTGGTGGGTGGGGTCACCTGTGATGACCCTTGTTCTCCTCAGACAGGAGGATCTGGCGATGGCCACCAGGGGTCACAGAGGGCAGGCAGTTATTTTTTGGGCAGTGTTAATTACCCTCTGCGCAGCCTTCCTGTTCTCATTGTGGCCCCTGCGTACCAAACATCCAGGCAGTAGGAGAGTCTCCACTGTGGAGTGGTACAAGGCCAGCAGCAGCTTCCTGGCCTCCTGCATCAAAGATTGAAGTGGTATGTGGTGATCGAGGCATAGATTTCTTTTCTTAGAAAAAGAGGTACGCTGAGCGAGAGCCACATTTTACATTGTAGCTCTAAAAAATAATCTGCTTTGCTTTTCATTTGGAGCGTAAAGGCCTTTACATACCTGAGGTGTAAAATGCAAATATTTCAAACGTTTAAAATATTTTTGGGCCTCACCTATTCATAATGCAGCCGTTCATACTGACCGCATAATTTCACCTGACAAATTTGGTGCAAAAAGTAGTCGTGATACAGCTTTACAGCTACACCTTCCTTGGATCAAACCATGAAATTTGTCTCTATGCATGCCTTCTTGTGAGAATTGGATGAACCTAGAATTTCTGTTTCTTCCATTTCTCTGAACATGAGGCTCATGATCGCTGTCAACTTCCTGTTTTTTATCATAGTGCATTTTTGGAGGATGAATTTTTCAAAAAAAGGCAACATGTTTGGCGTGTATATAGGTTACACAGTAAGTTTGGATCCGTGAATTCCAGAAATTTGTTGCAATTTTTCAAAATGCATTAAGTGTGTAAAATATTTACTAAAGATGTCTTTGCAGATGGAATTGTTTTTGTAATAGAAGTCACTAAAAGTCACCGCCTCCTGGCTATTAGAGAGAATGCAGGTTCAAGGCATTTCTTTAAAAAAAAATGTTATAGCCATCTTTTATATACAGTCTATCCT